ATCTGATCGCAATGGATAATTTTGACACCTTCATTGCTTGAACATGCATATAATACATGTGCAGAAAAGTTTCCCTATTGTCTCCAGTATCTCCACAGGGATATACTGTATATGGTGCCAAGATCTCAATCTATGCTTCACGTAAACTTACAGACTCAGTTTAGTATACCATTTGTTGTAGCCAAGTTAGCCAGCATCAGCTCCGAAGATTTTATACCCCCTTCCTGACCAGGCCATTTTTCTTTTTCCGCTACTGAGCTGGGTTTAAACTGACAATTGCGCAGTCATGCAGCGCTGAACCCAAATTTAATTTATGTAATTTTCTCCCGCCCACAAATTAGAGCTTCTTCTTTTGATGGTATTTGATTACCTGTTGTGATTTTTACTTTTTGCGTTATAAACAAAAAAATATTTTGTATTTTCTATTACTATAAAACATTCAATTAAAAGTTAAAAAAAATAAAATGTCTTTATCTGGTACAAGAGGAAATTGATGGATTGTATTCCAGCTCTCTTCCTACCCTGCCCGACAATCTGGGGGCAGACAGCAACTGGTTAATGAAATCACTCCTAACAAGAAGGATCATTTAAAAACACAATTTGCAGGACCCAAAGCAGCATGGCTTTACTGAAAGTTGATCATGTCCTTTCTTTTGGTGGAATTTAATCACCTCTGTGGTTTTCTATTTTTTGCTAAACAAACAAAAAAGACCGACAATTTTGGAGCAAAAAAGACAGGCATCACTGATGGGCACTGACATCATCACTGATGGGAACTCATATGTGGCACTGATGGGTATTGATAGGTGGCACTGATAGGTGGCAATGATGGGCACTGACAGGCACTAATGGATACTAATAGAGTGTACTGATGAGGGGGCCCTGACAGGCTGCACAGATGGGCACTGACAGGCATCATTGATGGGCACTAATGGGGCTGCACTGATATTCAGGGCACTTATGATCAGTTCCCTCATTATCAGTGTACTGTAGATGTCTCCTCTGAAGATTTCCGCTCATCAGCTCTTCTGTCGATAACTGGCATTTCCTGTTTAGATGTGATCAGCTGTGATTGGATACAGTTGATCACATGGTAAAGAACAAAAGTCTTCTGCTCTTTACCGCGATCAGTGATCAATTGTGTCCTAGGGACACAGTGCACCACCGATCACAGCACCGCACCCCCGGGCATGCGTGGCTACAGTAGAATGACGTCATATGATTTACTCCGAGAACAAGAAAGCTCCCACCCATCTGTCATTTGCCAGTATGACTGCAGGAGGCAGTTAAATATATCACTAATGTTTTGGACAGGAGGGTGCTGTGGACATAGCCTATCCTGATTTCAGCAAAGCAATCGATACAGTTCCACATAAGAATCTCAGAAAAAAGTTGGGACCCTTTGGTGGTTCAGTGGATCTGCGATTGGCCATAGGACAGATATGAGAGTGTGGTTGTTCATTCAGAACAGAGACTAGTTACTAGTGGTGTACCACAAGGCTCTGTACTAGATCTTTGTCTGTTTAATCTCTTGTAAGTGATATAACTAAACATTTTGTGGGTAAGGTATGTCTTCTTGCCTGTAACTTGGACCATGACTTAGCATTGCTTGAAGATTGGTCAAAGTAGTGGAAACTGCAGTTCAAAGTTTTTAAATGTACAATAATCCCTTAACAGATCACAATATTGGGGGTACAGTGTTGGCCAGCACTACAGAGGCAAAAAAATGGTTGGTACTTATTTAATATGATTGCAAAATGAGCAAATAGTGTGGCCCGGCAGTGGAAAAAGCTAATAGAATTCTAGGATGGATCACTAGAGGGGTCACCAGCAAGGTCCTGATTCCCCAATATAAATCTTTCATTTAGATCTCATTTTTTTAACCTCTTCACACCGGCTGTACACAAATGTGCGGCCTCCCGGCGTCTGGGCCTAGACGCTGAGTGGGTGCACATTTGCATTCTATTAAAAAAGGACATATGTGCCGAGAGCGCGCGCCCTGCGCGCTCCCAGCACACATGTTCGGTACTCATGGAAAGGTCTTGATCTCCTCTTTCGATCAGGAACTTTCCCGATCATGTGACCGCCGTGATGGCGCGTCACGGTGGTCACATATCCCTAAACCCCGCCCCATCTCCCGGCTTCTGGACCCCTTAAAGGTTCGGAAGGCGCCGGCGTGAAGGGGTTAATCAAAATTTTTTTTTATTGAGAACAATTTAAGAACTCTGAAAAACCCCTTCCTTCCCTTTTACCCAATGTGTGCCCTAACAGTGAGCATATACAGTGAAGCACAAATACACGCTGGTAAAACTTAAGATATACATGTGGATCAATACAGATAGGTCACAAATTAACAGAATTCAAAAGAAAAGGATGTATATCATCCAATAAACACCAGCTATTGATATTAGGGCTTCTATTTCAAAATTAAGAGATCTCTCTAGAGCTCTTTCCATGGCTAATCTGAGTTATATCTCACTACACATTAAGGAGCTGAGTAAGACCTAATTTAGAATACTGCGCCCAGTTCTGGGGACCTCTCTTATAAAAAGATATTGATAAGATAGAACAGATTTAGAGATGGGCCACAAAAAAGGTGAAAGGTCTGAGGGATAAAACATATCAGGAGAGACTTCAGGAGCTTAATATGTACAGTCTGGAGGAAAGAAGGGAAAGGGGAGACATGACTGAAACCTTTAAATACATCAAGGGAGTGAATACGGTTTAGGAGGGTAGGATTTTCAATATACTGTAAAGCTATGATCAAAACACAGGGACATGACCTCAAATTTACAGGAGTAGAGTTCAAAACGAATCTTAGAAAGTTTTCTTTTCTTACTGAAAGAGTAGTTGATGCTTGGAATACACTAGGAAAACTAGGCAACCACCTAGTGCGCACTGCCACCTAGGGGCACCTGGGTGCAGGACAGGACCAACACTCTCTCTGTGTGGCCTATGGACCTCTTGTATGAATTCTTCTTTTCTCTGCAGAGTCCTCCTCTTCACATACACAGGGAATAATGAGGGAATGATGGTATTTTTATGCTGCACAATTGTCTCACAGCCTGTCCACATACATGACCATATATATATTCAGTATTCCATGTAGCAGTGAAGTGCTGGCTCCCCCTAGGATGAGAAGTGATGAAATTAGTCCAGGACCCCGGGTGGTCAGATGTCTCTGAACGAAGGATTGGTCCGTACATCTCTGGTACACACACTGGTACACACAATCCTCTAGCTGTAACAAGGAGCCGGCTAGTGACTGGAGCGTGTCCTGCTCTGGCTCTGCCTTCTTCTACACAGCTGGAGCCAATCAATAGGCAGGGGTGTGCTCTGGTTGCAGTGTTAACCCTATGCGAGTAGGATGATCGGGGCCCGATGTGTATGAGAGGGATGCGGTGTAGTGCTGGAAGGCCGCCTGTCCTCACTAAGAGCCGCAGCCTGGACTCCACACCCTGACAGGAGCCATCAGATGAGAGCCACGCCTAAAAGGATAATGGGTAATGGAAGTTACAGGTGGATGAGGGGGGCAGACAATGGTCGGAGCAGATTTTGATTGATCGTGTGGGACGCCGCCACATCATGAATGATCCTTCAGCTGAGGGGAGGGATGGTAGAGGAGGAGGAAGAAAGGACAGAGGGAGATGCCGGGTGTCTGGGGCCAGTGTAGCAGCTGAGCTGCCGCTCCTTCCAGTGTTCTTCTCAGGGATGCTGATCACTGTGGAGTTGTATAACTCTCTCTCTCTCTCTCTCTCTCTCTTTTTTTTTTTAGTTTCTCTGTCTCTAATACAGTTAAGTTATATTTGGTTAATATATATTTTGTGTTTAATATTGGTGCTGCTGGCATCTTTTGGCACCTAATTTTGCAAATTAAAAGAAATTTAGCAGTTTCATGTTTTGTTGATTTAATATTTTCTACTGTTTATAATAATTTTTTTTTTTTATGGTGCAAGTAGCTGGTCTTGCCTAGGGCACAAAATAGTGTAGCACCGGCCCTGCCCCCGCTGCTGTCTCAGCCAATGAGGAGCAGGACTCCTGGGATAGCTGAGACTCCAGTGCACATTGCTGGATCGAGATGGGGCTTAGGTGAGTGTTAGGGGGGATGCTGCACACAGAAGGTTTTTTACCTTCATGTATAGAATGCATGAAGGTAAAAAAACTTCAAGCCTTTACAACCACTTTAAGGGCAGTAGAAAAAATATGGGTCACCAATATGTCTTTTCTGTCTGCTAGGGCTGAACGTATCCGAAGACAGAAACAGAAATCTTTTTGCATTGAAAACAGCTCACATTTCAATGTTATATACTTCAGTAAGGTACTGCAGAGAACAGTGTATATGGGAAACATGCAATTTTCCTGAAAAAAAAAACAATTAGAAACAATTTCTTTATTTATCATAATACATTAAAGTGAAATCTGATTAGTTGCTATGGTTTACAGCACTTCAATAAGGTTGCAACATTCCTTATTGCACTGAATAAGCCTCAAATGTCTAATAGTGCCACAACAAAATGCCTGATTGTACCACAACAAAATGTCTGATAGTAGCACAACAAAATGTCTAATAGTACCACAACAAAATGTCTTATAGTACCACAACAAAATGTCTAATAGTACCACAACAAAATGTCTAATAGTACCACAACAAAATCTCTGATAGTACCACAACAAAATGTCTAATAGTACCACAACCACAACAAAATGTCTGATAGTACCACAACAAAAATGTCTGATAGTACCACAACAAAATGTCTGATAGTACCACAACAAAATGTCTGATAGTACCACAACAAAATGCCTGATTGTACCACAACAAAATGTCTAATAGTACCACAACAAAATGTCTGGTAGTACCACAACAAAATGTCTAATAGTACCACAACAAAATGTCTAATAGTACCACAACAAAATGTCTGATAGTACCACAACAAAATGTCTGATAGTACCATAGCAAAGCATCTGTACTCTTCTCCTTAGCTGCACTTTTATTTTGTATACAGGTTATAAAATGCAAAGCTGCTGTGGCCTGGGCCGCAAATCAGCCGCTGGCAATTGAGGAGATCGACGTACAACCACCAAAAGCAGATGAAGTTCGGATTAAGGTGAAACTTTTTTGTAATCTGTTTTCTAATTGCATACAAATCTTTATATGCACTGTGGAAAACAACATAAAACGCCAATCTGTTCTAATATTTGCATCATGAAATTACAAGTTGGTGTGCAAGGTCAACTCAAGAGTATTAAAGAAAAAAAAAGAGTTCAGGAATGGGCACACTTTTGCTAGTATATAAAAATGTTTTCAAAACAACAATGGAAACCAAGTTTTACTCAATATATACTGGTGTTTTTCAACAGGAGGTAAAGAGACCCAGGCGATCATGTAAACGGAAGTATTAAAGCTTGGCCATTTGCTTAAAAAATTATGGACTGTTTACCTATGCACCCCTTGTCCACCACTCACCTACACCTTTTGTTTCATGAAGCACCCCTGCACCCCTGTTGCTTTTGTACACTTTATGTCTACACTCTCTGTCCCCTGCACATCTCCGCACCTCTCACCCATCTCTCACTTCTGTACCCCTCCTCCACCACTCACCTCCACACCCCTGTCTCTCTTGTAGACCACTCAGCTCTGCAATCCCTGCACCCCTTGTCCACTCTTCATAACCCACTCACCTCTGCACTCCTAGTTCATAGCTCACCTTTGCACCTCTTGTCCTCTGCTGACCTCTGTGCCATTAATCCAAAGCCCATTTCTGCACCTCTTGTCCACCACTCACTACTGCCTTCCCCTTCTTCCCCCTGCACCCCATTTCCACCACTGCTACCCCTCTACCCCTCTCTTCTACCACTGCTCACCCCTGCACCCCTCCTCCATCACTCAGCTTTGTAAGACCTGCACTCCTTGCCCATTGTGCATATCTGAATCTTTTGTTTCACCTCTGCATCCCTCTGTATTACTTGTTTACTACTGACCTCTGTACCTCTCATCCAATTCTCATCGCCACGCCTCTTGTCCATCACTCATCCCTGCCTCCCTTTGTTCCTCTGCATTCCTCTTCCATCACTACTCACCTCTGCAACCCTTGTACGCTTCTTCCACCACAGCTCACCTCTACACCCCCTGCACTACTCCTCCACCAATGAACCCATCTGCACTACACCTCTGAGCTAATCTGTGCTCCTGCACTTCCCTACCTCCCAGCACACATGGCACTACACTTCCCTGATTCCCAGCAACCCTGGCAATGCACCACCTGCCACCCAACACCCCTGAGACTGTACTTCATCTGTTGTCACATCCTTCTCAGTAGCCAGCACTATGCAAGGTGCAAGCAAGCTGTTCTTGCCACCGCTCTGCCTATACTCCCCTTCTCCGCCGCCAGAGCAGATGAGTAAAAATCATGGCAGGCAGCAGCAGCAGCTTTGGGGCACAAGGCAAGAGATGCGGTACATGTACACAGTGTGGTGACCCATCCAACTGGATACAAAGAAAAACAAACAGAGGGCGCACCGGCCTAGTGCATTATAGTAAAAAATGTATTGGAAGGATAAAAAGTAAGTATCGTGCTCACAATAGGCAAACATGTCAAAGGCACATCACACTAAACAGCGGTTTCCAATCCACATTGCACGTAAGTCCAAAAAATGGAACCATGGACTTCCAACAGGCTAACGTGTTTCAAGGTCTCAACCTCTTTCTCAAAGCCACCTGGTGGCTCTGAGGAAGAGTTAGTCCAGGGTTTCATTTTTTGGACTTACATGCAATGTGGATTGGACACTGCTGTTTAGTGTAATGTGCCTTTGACCTGGTTGCTTATTGCGAGTATGATACTTTTTATCCTTCCAATAAATTTTTTACGATAATGCACTAGGCCGGTGCGCCCTTTGTTTGTTTTTCTTTGTATTCAGTGACATTGGACTATCCCGGTCCGTTGAGGGCAGCAAGGAGTGCATTTTCCAGGATATCTGTGATTTTACCATAACCCTAGCCGAGTCCATCCAGAAGCGCAGGAGTACAGAGTTTGCTGTGTTTTCGTGGTGACCCATCCAAAACAGGTCTGCAACCAATATACTCTAAGGGATTGAACATATTTTGAAAAGCCAGTATAAAGGAAAAGTAATGTTGAATAAAAGCACTTTTGGGTTTAACCAAACATTTTTTGTGTATGAATAGCCTTTATTATATCAAAATAGTTTAGTCAACATCAAATAGGTTTAGGATAAAGAACAGGTACTCTTTCTTCTTTTTAAAATCTTCAGATGGTGAGCACAGGAATATGTCGGACAGATGATCATGGAATCCATGGTACTCTAAAAGGGATACAGTTTCCAGCTATCTTTGGCCATGAGGGAGCTGGAATAATTGAAAGTGTTGGAAAAGGTGTAACCCATTTAAAACCAGGTATTTTAATTTTGAGAAAATGTTTTGGAAATCAGTTTAAAATGTCCAATAAATCATGTGTAAACACAACTATAAATTAGAAAAGTGAAAAGGCCAAAAGGGATGCAAAAAGTGCAACTAATTAAAGTACATCTATTACTGTTTCTTTGTTACTATGCACTTTCTGTTTCCGGCATACAAACCCAATTAACCATGTTTGGACTTTTACAACTTGAGTTTCATTTATTTTTAATACTAGCTATTCAGCGAAACAATTACACACAGTACCTATCATCTTGATGTCAACGTAGATAAAATGTACATACTGGAGAGCAAACACTGTCTTCCATTTTGGAAAGACCACTCCTAGGTCCCTGGAGTCCATACATCACATGGTCAGTAGTGCAGATCAAAATATGAAATCAAAGAAATTGATTTGATAAAATTATTAGAGCTCACTAAGCTGTTACTGTTCCACTGTGGTGCGATACTGCATACATGTTATGGTTTGGTATTTTGTGTTTGGTATTGATGTGTGTTGCAATAAGACAGCCCATTCATCAAGAATGAGTTACCAACACAGCAATGGAAGAAACCCCTGACCTGCTGTTTTTTAACAACCTTGCATTGTGGTGTGCTCCCAGCACCAATGACACTGCACCTCCCTGCCTCCCAGCACTCATTACACCGCAACTCCATGTCTCTCAGCAACTCTGAGACTGCACTTTCTACCACCGAACACTCCTGAGACTGTACTTCCCTGCCTTCCAGGACCTCTGATACTACACACCCTTGCCTCCCAGTACCCCATAAACTACAGTTCCCTGCCTCCTATTACCCTGGCTCTACATCTCCATGCCTTCTAGCAACTCTGTCACTACACCTCCCTGAATCCCAACACCCCTGACCCTGTGCCTGTCTACCAGTCACTGCAGTCAGCATCCTCCTGCCACCCAGAAAACCTACCACTAGCCCCACCCCCTCCCCCACGTCCCCAACCCTTCTTCACACATGTCACATTACATCACATCAAGAGAGGAGGAGACATCGAGCCTTGAAGTTTGCTCTCTGCACCCTCAGCATTTTGCTCCTTCTGCTTCCACCTCTGAGGTGACATTACCTCCTTCACAGTGCAACCTATAGATGCGGGTCTCCGGAGTCTTTGGAACATACAGATCCTCTCCCAGATGCTGCATACTTACCTAACCTGCTGCAAGACCCCAGAGAAGACCTTTAAAAATGGGTGCTTTCCAAGTTTTCCTGTTGAGTTGACGGCTATGGTATAGATAAAAACACTTATGGTGCCTTTTTTTATCTGGAAATCAGCTAATTTGGCTGACTTTTCCTTAGGACTGTTAGTGGAAACAATATGAACTAAGTTGATAATGGCTACTTCGAATAAAAATCACAAATCAAAGATTTTCCGTTTGTTTGATATAGTGAACTCTCAATCACGTTTTCCTCTTCTAAGACAATTGACTGTGGTGGAATTATTTCAATCACTTCTGATTGACCAAACAAATATCTGCATGTGTCTAGAGAACCAATCATAACTGAGATCAATTAAATAATTCAATGATTGAGTTTTTAATTGATCATTTACATAACACATACTGTAGATTGTACATTAGATTGATATTTTCAGTTGATTGCAATATACAGAATAATACCATATTTGTTACATTGATATTTTCATCAATGATAAACCACTTCTTTGTGATCGTCTGTGTATAATTTGATCAAAAATTGCTACATGCATGGCCACCGTAGGGTACTGTGTGCCTATGACTGGTAGTCTCAGGTGATTTAGAGTGTGATTTGATAATGTCACTGCTGCTGCTCAATTTTTCTCTTGCTGGAGATAAAGCAGTGCCTGATGATCTGCAGACAAAGATTTACCTGCTTCTATTTTACTTTATTCATTTAGTATATCTATATTTTCTGAACATTTCCAGCTGCTGCCTATTCCTCAATCAGTCATAGTGTAGATGACCAGTAATCAGGGGGACAGCTATGACATGAGGAAGCAAAGTTCTGCCTCTACCACAATGGCCATCTCCACACAGAGACACAATACAGAGCAAAGCATAACAAGTCAGTAATCGGATAAAGATCATTTCATTTCCTCATCAAATGTGCTGTAGTTTAATATGGTATAATATGTTATAGCTTGCAACCTTATGCCATATCTTTTTAATTACGAAGAATAGTATATTGAAATAAAGTATACACTAAATTTACAACTAAAATAATGTATTCACATATTCACATAATTTTTTTCATATTTTTAGGAGACAAGGTCATTCCACTTTGGCTTCCTCAGTGTAGAAAGTGCACTACTTGTATACACCCTCACAGCAACCTTTGTATGGAATCGAAGTAAGTATTAGAAGGCACAGATTTTATTGAAGTTGTGTGTCTCATCTGTCTACAGATTTGTTTCCCTTATCACAAGCAATATTTTTGTTCAGTTATACTGCCTGTGGACCATACTTCTGCCTGTGATGCAGACTGGTGTACATTCTTCACATCTGTAAGAAGCCAAAGAGTAGAACCTAGTGGTGGCATAATGTGCAGTACACATACTAGGGCCAGTTTAGACAGGAGCCAATTAACCCACCAGCATGTCTTTGGAGTATGTGAGGAAACCAGAGTAAACCCACACAGGCACAGGGAAACATGCAAACTGCAGGTAGGTTGTGATGTGGCTGGGATTTAAACCAATGACCCTAGCACTGCCAGACGGAAGTGTTAACCATTTAGCCACTGTGCAATGCCTAAGAACATGCAAAAAGCACATACGCTTAGACACATGTGAACGAGGCCTAAAACGTTTATCCAGGTAAATGTCAAAACCTTTGTCTTTTGTTATATCTGTGCAAAAAATACCTATTGATCTTGATAGAATTTCAAAGCTGTCCTGCATCTTGTGCTCTTTGCCTGTACTCAAAGGGATTATTTAGCCCTCCTAGTTCTTATCCTGGACTACAAGTTAATTAGTGCCTATGCTGTGGATAAGAAGACAGTGGGAGTAGTAAGGTAGTTTATCAAAAGACGATAAGCAGGGCTGGCACTGTTTGGCCTTGTGTTGTTAGCATATTTCTGGCTAATCAACAAGTATTTTTCTGTACTTGCAGGGTCTTAACCACTTCCCGTCTGGCCGCTGTATATAAACGGCTGGACGGTGGCAGTGCAGGGGTGGGTTGTCATTCATTGGATTGTGTGCGTTCCCTGGGAGCGCACGGCACCGCGATCTGGTACCCGCTGTGTTCGGAGGACACCGATCGTTGTACGAGACCTCTGTGTGAGGTCTCGATCATGTGATAATTGATTGGCTAATCAGTGATCACATGACTAGGTGTAAGCAAGATGTCACTTCTGCCATCACTGCTTACTAAGTTTGAAATTTGTGAATGATCACAGAGATCACATGGTACAAGGCTATTCACAACAGCCTTGTACCATGTGACAAGCTGTGACCAATCACAGCCCGCACAGTATTTCTCAATGGCTGCAAGAATGCAGCCAGAGAGAAGGAGAAATTATTGCTTTTACAGCCTTTATGGGTGTAAAAGCAATCAGTGTAAAAAAAAAAAAAATCTTCATCATCCCCCACAAGTAGTACAGTGTCACTATGGTGACACTGTACAGCTAGGGTGACAGTATCTTAAAAAAAAAACAAATAATATAAAAAATAAAATAAAAATGTAAAAAAAAATTTCAGAAAAATTATAATTTTTAGTTATAAACTAATTTGGGTTATTTTCTTTACTAAAAAGATAACTGAATAAATTTTGGCCAAGATTTATGAAGAAATATTATTTATTTGCAAAATTTTATAAGAAAAACATTTTTTTCAAAATGTTTGGACTTTTTTATTCATATAACAAAAAAAATAAAAATCCCAGTGGTGAATAAATACCACCAAAATAAAGTTTTATCTGTCTCAAAAAATGCTAAAAAATTCATATGGGTACAGTGTTTCATGACTGCGCAATTGTCATTCAAAGTGTGACAGCACTGAAAGCTGAAAATTGGCCTGGACAGGAAGGGGGTAAAAGTGTCCAGACATGAAGTGGTTAAAGGAATAAAATATGGGGTAACGATCATATACTGCTTAGATGTATTGCATAGTTTTTTTTTATTTTGCCTTGACATACGTTTTAAAAATAAAAGACCAATATATGTTGTGCTGTGCTTGGATTGTCTGTCTACCATTATGAATAGTAAAACTAAACAAAAAAAGGGAATCTTTTTTATTGTAAATGTCACATTGTGTGTTGCACTGCTGTGAGGTGACATGCAGACACCAGCTGCATTTTTCTACACTGTAATACACCACATAGAACACCAGTGTTGTGGTGTAAACAGGACAAATAGAAAACAATTATTTCCTATGTGCCATAGTCATGGCCCATCTTTGTCCAATGCAGAAAAAAAAGCAGGTCACTGCACACAGTGTGAGCAAGCCCTTGATGCTACATTTGTGTGTACAACAATACACTGCATATCACACCAGTGCTGTAGTGTAAACAGGACACATAGAAACAGTTATTTTCAATGTGGCCCTAGTGGTGACCCACTGTTTATCCGATGCAGACAAAAGCAGGTCACTGCACACATTGTGAGCCCTTAAGTCTGAAACCCTTTAATACATTTATTATAGTAAAAGCAAACCTTAAATGTTATGCATGTCCTTTTGTTCCCTTTTATTTTACATACAGGTTTTGTGAACCACAGAATGTAATGCCTGACAGGACATCAAGGTTTTCATACAAGGGAAAAGTTGTGAATCATTTTTCAAGGTGCAGCACCTTTTCCGAATATATTGTCACCCCAACTAATGCTGTTGCAAAGATTGATGACAGAGCACCCATGGAGAAGATTTGTCTTTTTGGATGTGGGTTTCCAACAGGATATGGAGCTGCTGTCAATACTGCTAAAGTATGTTCTCTTTGGGTGGGGGGGTAGACCTCTATGACTTAAAGCAAATATATCACTAATGATAATATATTAAACTTTAATAAATTCATAGTATGAATTTGTACATGCAAACACATAATTTGGCCTTTCTTCAGTCACAAACTCACTAAGTTGTCAAAGCATGGCTAATATCTCAAATTAAATCTGCCTTCTAAGAAAGGCATCACATGTTGTCACATTTTCTAAGGTTGTCTAGCACAGAGAAACGGGAGATCAATGTCCTGGTTAAGGTGAAAGGAAGAAACCACCTTGGGAAGAAATTAGGCATTAGGTCTGAGGACAGCCCTGTCTCTGTATAGCATCAGAAAGGTTTCTTTGCAAGTTACGGCCACTAACTTAGAAACTCCTTGCAGAAGTGATGGCAATAAGGAATGCAACCTTGAGAGTAAACAGAGGAATATTGCTGTAGGTTCAAAAAGCACTTTCTGCATATTCAACAAGACATACGGGGGTACAACGTGGGCAATATCTTGTACAAATGCTTTCACTAAGCAACGAAAGGCAAGCAGTCTTTGGAAGAACACCACTAGAGCTAAATGATTGTCTACGCCTAAATGGAGAAAAGAGAGGATTAATTTCACAGGGTAGTACTTCCTGAGATGGAATTTACTTGCTTTGCACTACATGCCTTCCCAGGTGCAATGGTACACTGTGCAAGAATTCAATTTCCTAGCATTCTAGAGCCTAGGGATAAATGATGCAGATAGGTTCTATCCGTCAGGACCAGGGCTTCAACAGCCAGGTCATTAAAGCCAAGGACCAAAAAGCATGTTTTGGCCTTTGCCAAGAGTCAAGATGGCCGTGGCTGGTTCGTATATGCACAATGGTGTGTGCTCCAGCTCCGGCCAACATGTTTCATCTCAGCTGTGCCCCCTGATGATGTCACCTCTGACGAAACACATTGGGCAGAGCCAGGACACACGCATGGGCGAACCAGCCATGACCATATTGGTTTTTGGCAAATGGTCTGTATATGTGATTTGAAGTGCCTGCTCATCACCTATCCATTGTAAGTGCATATACCTCATTAACTCTGTATATGCTACTGGTTTACACTGTGGAGAGTGTTTCTTTTTTTCTTTCAGGATGTCATTTTAAATTAGTCCAATTTTTTGAAAAAGTTCTTGAGAGAAATTGGACATTCTGTGGAATGCATAGAGCACTGTTTGACCACTCAACGATGGGGGTCATTCAACTCTGGTAAGCCCCCCTCTTTTACACAATGAAGTAGTGTGCAGCTTTACTACAGGGTTCAGAAGCTATTGGGATTCACATCTGTCCTCCTCTTGTCGTATTTAGAAGACTGCTTGATATATCTTCTGGCTCTTCATTTTAGACTTTTGGTGTTTCACTTTAAGCACTCATATTTTTATGCAATTTTGGGACGCATGTTTCTTTTGCAATGATTGTGTTATACACATGTTCATGAATTGAATATTATGGTATTGTGATTTTTTTTAACACTGCACTACTGTTTACTATAACTGTAGAAGCTTGACAGAAGAAAAAAGGATCTTGATAAAAGTCAAAGAAATTAGTTTGCTTACCTCGGAGGAGAAAAGATATATCCTTTTTCCAAGGCAACAAGCAAAAAAAAAAAAAAAAAAACTTAAGCATGTTGGGAGTAAGAGGGGTTATACTAGACTGTCTTACAACTTTGCCAATATCCAATCTCCTGAAGGCAGCAGCATAACTCAGTATCTTGGTAGTACTTTGTCCCTTAATGAGAGATTCAAGAATAATTAATGTAAAAATGTTATTAAATCTTTAAACAAGCATACCAATGTTTTTTGCAGTATTTTCATTTATACTCTCCCTACTAGCACCTGCACAGTCTATGCTGTATTTAAGCCCTTTAAAGCTCTCAAGTGCCTGGTGTCATAGCTGATTGCCATATTCAGCACCATGGCAACTGAAGAGAGAAAGAAATACTAAAGCTGACCATACATGTGGAACCAATAGATTTTTCCATCAAAACTGAACTGCACAGAATTGCATCAGATTTCATTCCAATCTGGCTGAATGCAGTCATTGTTCAGGTGAAAATTTCTCCTTTGGTGAAAGTCAAATTAATTATTGACTTTTGTCGTGTGGTGTGGTGCCTACAGGGCCACCCACAACTTGCATTTTTGTTGATTCAGCAGGAACTGTCAGAAATTTGATCCATGCATAGCCACCTTAAGCCTGGTTCACATACGGTATGTGCGTTTCTGTCGTCCGTGTTTTACGCGGGGCACGAGAGCCCATTCATTTGAATGGACTCCCGTGCCCCGAGACACGCAGTACGGTTGCGATTTCCAGTGCAGGTGGCGTGCCATTAAAATCATTGGCACCCCAGCCCGCGGGTCCGCATTCAATTCTGTGCGGATGGTGTGGCTGCACAGATTTTTGTGCGGATCCACAGCGGCACCACCCGCACATATGTGAACCTAGCCTTAAATGCCACCGTCTTTTGCTGCAAAAGAATAATAGAGATTAGTGTCACTTGCCACTAAACCTGAGACTCTGTTAGTACAAAGTGCAAATTCCACATTGTCTAGAAGGCACTTTGCCATAACTGCAGGGGTTGTTTGCCGCCAGTCAGGAGGCTACTGCAGTACCCATCATCAGTGTCACCTCCTCACATCTTATACCTGCAGCACCTCATTTTTATTTATTATTGTCAGTGCTGACCCAAGTTTTTGAAAGTGAAAGACTAGTAAGAATGTCCCTTTCAAGTATGAATGAAAAAAAGTGCTTATTTGAATGAAGATCCACTTTATCCTAAAAGTAGTACTGCATATACCTGCAGCACTTTTTATTTATTTTGTCCTGACAAGTTTTTTAAAGTGAAAGACTAGTAAGAATGTCCCTTTTTTTATATCTTATATTGTATGGTGTTCTATTTGTTGAGAAAAAAATGATCAAAATTTCATATGAATGTCCGCGCAATTGTCAAAAAGTGCGTTAAAGAATCTTTACGTTTTGGATAACAAGAGTTTAGTCCACAGAATAGGGTACACACATTTTCTTATATATTTCTCTGATTAAGACATGCAGATATTCATTTTAAATGGTGCCATGTACAGGGGCGGACTGACAACTCATGGGGCCCCCGGGCTATAGGGGATCATGGGGCCCCTGTGTCCTTGCCCAAACTCAAAAAAGCCTATGAAAAAGTTACCAGGGGCATTTCATGGGGCCCCCTACTGACCCTGGGCCCTCGGGCAGTGCCTGAGTTTCCAAATAGTCAGTCCGCTCCTGGCCATGTAGTATGTATAGTTTATTGGGATTCAGTTGCAGAGTGCTTGGTGAGGCAGTACATGTCAGTTTTTGACCAGGAATGGTTTCCATCATTCCTGTCTATAACTGTCTGAGATAGATTCTCTCTGATTCTAAATAAGTATGCAATTAAGAACAACAGATTTTTCAATGACTTTCCTGATTTGCAGATATTCAAGGTCAGTGACTCAGAAAGCATTACAACTAATGGGTCAGTATGACAGATAGTCAACTAATGCTGCATATTCAGAAGGAGGCCAGTAATGTCAACTCCTATAGTTCTGCCAAGAGAGATTTACTTTAACCAAGATCTAAAACGAAACTTCAGAAACATATTTGTTTATTTAACAGGTGCAGCCTGGTACTACGTGTGCTGTATTTGGATTGGGTGCCATTGGATTGTCAGCCATTATTGGATGTAAAGTTTCTGGAGCATCAAGAATTATTGCTATAGATATAAACAGCAGCAAGTTTGAAAAGGCAAAGCACTTTGGAGCCACTGACTGTATTAATCCCAATGATTATAGCAAGCCAATCCAGGAGGTGATCAAGGAAATGACAGGAGATGGAGTACATTACTCCATTGAATGCATTGGCAATACTGATATTATGGTATGTGATTGTAAAATACATTTTACCATTAAATAGCTTAAATTAGTTATACATGGTACAAATGTTCTTCCCCTATATATATAATAAAAAAAAACTTCAATTTTAAAAGACTACAGGCAGTATTATAGATTTTACCAGCAGCTCAAATAAATTCCCTTTATGTGGGTTTACAGATAAAAAGTCTGTAGGGGATGGCTCCCTGGTTACCAGCATGAAACAGAGAAATGATTGGCAAAAAAGGCTGATGCTGGTCATGGAGATCAGAACATTTACTGGGCATTTGCAGGCTGAGGGGAATGGCCATCAGATGGAGAACAAAGATAAAGTCCTTATGCATCTGTTGCTTTCAGCAATGGATGACAGGAGGGAGAGAACAAGGGTTGCCCCTTACAGAGCTCCTTCAGGATCAGAAGCCTTCAAACAGTTCAAGAGGCTCAAGCAGTGGATGTGTCGAAACGAATGACCTGCATTATAAATCATCAATGACTGTCTATAAGGACCTGTAACAAAACAGGTCCACATAATTTTAAAAAGTTTTGCAGTAGGAGCCTTTGGCCTGACATTGTGTGAAGTTCATTCTCTTACCATAGTTCACCAAACAGACAATGATCCTTCAGATCTGTTCTGCCTTAAATTACATCTGCTAGTGCTATAATGATACTTAATAGAAACTTAAAGTGTTACTAAACCCAGGACCTTGCATTCACTATATCTGGTCTCCCACAGTACACAGAACATGGAAATGCAAATATTGTAGTAAATATAAGCTGCTAAATACCTTTCTCATCAGCAGTAGAAAGAAGTTACAAGACTGCTATCACTGTCTGCCCAAGCACTGGTTAAAGCTTGTAGAAGGCATTTTCATTCCCCCTTGACTATCCTATGAGGCTGCATGACCCCTGAATCTTTGTCTGGAAAGGCTCCGTTCACACCAGTGCTTTTTTTTTTAGTTCTTTTTGCAGAAATGGATTACAGCCCATTTAACATGATTTCCAATGGAACATGTTCACATCTATCCTTTTTTGAGCTCCTGCTTTTTTAGAAAGGATCAGGGACTTTTTTAAAAGCAAAAAGCAGCATTTTTGCTACAATAGAATTCAATGGAGAATCTGCTGAAATGTATGGTAGTGTGTTTTGCTGCATTTCTGCTGCGTTTTGCATTTTTATTCTGCCCAGCGAAAAAAAAAAAATTCCACTTTAAGAAAAAAAAGAGCTGAGCAAAATGCAGTAAAAACGTGTCAAAAACACATCAAAAACGAGTGTAGAAAAATGCAAAATGAACTGCGAAAAGCACTGCAAAATGGACAAAAAGCAAACTGCATAGGTGTGAACAGAGCCTAAAGCAAGGGGGTAAGCATGACAGTATTTTTAGAAGAAATGGTCAGTAATAGAAGCCTCTATATTTCTCTAATGACAGGTCTCCTCTACAGCCAGACTATGTCTGTTTAACATTTATTTCAAACTTATCTATATATTCATTCTGATTTAATTTTCCGAATTAGAAAGCAGCACTGGAGTGCACTCACCCAGGATATGGAACCAGTGTGGTAATTGGTGTAGCTCCCCAAGATGCAAACCTTGTGTGTCCTCCTTTGCTGCTCCTCACAGGACGTACATGGAAAGGCTCTCTATACGGAGGTACATTTTACTATAAAAAGCTAATGTCTGCTTCTCTTTTACATTGTTGAAGTACTGTGATACTTTGACACTTTAATAAATTATTGAATATCATAGTGTGTTTAAAGCCCAACTCTGGGAAACATGAAAATTCTCCCTTGCAGTTGGACTGCTTGAATTGCAGGTGTTAGCTCTTTGTTTAGGTCTGGGGGCCTAGAAAAGAAGAGTTAAAAAAAACTGGCTATGCAGATAAGGGATGTCTGTAGATGAAAACAAGTTGTGCAGCTTTGACCAAATTGAATACTGCTCTTGCTATAGGTGTAGGCCATTTGTGTACCTCAGCCATCACAAGAATGAGCTGTTTCTGATTCAAATCACCAGTAGCACCCTCCTAAATAGCTAGGGGGAGCAGCCTGTGGTAATAGTCAGAGGGAGGTCAAATTCAGGTTAGGCAGGCTGAGAGGCACTGCAGATCAGCTCTCTGAAACGTCCCCCTGCTCTAGAATTTAAAGAAGATTCTAGAAGCAGTGGGAGGGAGTGAGGAGTGGTTGGTCCGCACTCTCAAGGGATCCTGGCCAATCCCCAACAGGAGGCTTGGCATAGGGCCAGGACAGCCCTTAAGAGCGAGGGAGACTGCTCAGTAGTAAGAGAGTTTGAGTGGAAGATGGAGAATTGAGAGGCAGGGGAGCAGGTGCCTGGGAGGAAGCTCAGATGGGAAGGGGCTCATGGGAAGGGGCTCACCTACAGGCAGGGAAGCTGGAGAAGAGGAAAGCTTGGGACCTAACTGGCCCCCAGAGTGAGGACCATCTGTGGAACAGGGAAAGAGTGGCCCAGCAGAAGGCCTGAGAGCAGCCACCAACCCAGCAGCTTACAGAGGACTGAGTGAGTAGACCTGCACCCCCTGGGCCAGAAAGGGGAAGGAGCACTTTAGTGGGAAACTGGATTAGCTGCTACTCGGGACTGTCCTATCTCTTAAAGTGACAGGCACTGGATCCTTTTCCCACAGATTCACCCAGAACAGATGGATAGAGGGGTATCTGGGGTCTAGGGTGGTACAGCAGGAGATGCTGGCTAGCTCTCCAGAAGAGAATATTTGCTGTAAAAAATTGTATATAGTTCCAGGGAGTTTGTCCTCCGTTGCCATTTCCCATGGGCATCCCATACATCCCTTCCCCCATCCACCTTATTTGCCCCTTAATAAAATAAATAAATAAATAAATAAAAAAAAAAAAACATCAATAGCTGGTACTGTCTCCTGGATGCAAGTCTGTGTGTAAAATGCATGTTGCCTGCCTGTGCAGAACTATAGGGGGACCCAAAACTCAGCAACTCCTACGAAGGTAGTGCTACACTCCTCACAAGCATTTTCTCTCCCTTGTAGTAGCTCTAAGTCAGAGTTCACTTCTGTAATGGTGTAGGTGAATAGTAATAGCTGGACCTCTCTTAGCAACGTCCTTGGAGGCTTCAGGTTAGGCTTCATGAGCTATACAAATGGCCTACAGCTTTAGCAAGGGCATTATTCAACTTTAGTCAGTATTTACCACTGCTTTCAGCATCATGGAGGGCTACCCATGGCTGTAAAAAAAAAGACAAGGAACACAAGTAATCTGTTCATTACATCATTGGCCTAAAGACATGGGAATAAAAGTAAATATGAAAAATGCAAAAAATATATCTGTGCCTTTTTGGGTGAGGCATTTTCTAATGAAAATAATGAAAACACATAAAAAAGGCATATCAATGCATGTTGTAACATGCTTTAAAGCACAGCATTGCATGACAACACACATTTGCTTGACACACCTTGGCATTATGACACCCCTTGATGCGCAATGCAACACAATTTTGATGTGTTTCTATTGAATATGATAGAATAAGCATCAGGCAAAAAATGTACCAAAACACTAAGGAATAAATGTGCCCCTAATGATTAAAATACAGTTGCAAGAAAAAGTATGTAAACCCCTTGGGATTACGTGGAGTTTTGCCTGAATTGGGCATAAAATGTGCTCTGAACGTCATCTAAGTCACAACAATAGAAGAACACAGTCTGCTGAACATAATACTACACAAACATTAGATGTTGCCATGGTTTAATTGCACATAACATGTAAACATTCACAGTGCAGGGAGGAAAAAGTATGTGAGGCCCTAGCTTAATGACTTCTCCCAGAGCTAATTGGAGCCAGGAGTGAGCCAACCTTGACTCCAATCAGTGTATTGATATTGGATGTGTTGCTGACAGCTGTCCTGCCCTTAAAAAACACACACCTGTTTTGGGTTTACTGGTTTCAAGAAGCACTGTCTGATGTGAACCATGCCTCGCAGAAAAGAGCTCTCAGAAGACCTACGATCAAGAATCGTTGACTTGCATGAAGCTGGAAAGGGTTACAAAAGTATCTCCAAAAGCCTTGATGTTCATGTGTCCACGGTAAGACAGACTGTCTACAAATGGACAAAGTTTAGCACTGTTGCTACTCTCCCTAGGCGTTATCGTCCTGTAAAATGACTGCAAGAGCACAGCGCAGAATGCTGCATGAGGTAAAGAAGAATCCCAGAGTGTCAGCTAAAGACCTACAGAAATCTCTGGCATATGCTAACATTTTTGTTGACACATCTACAATAAGGAAAACATTAAACAAGAATGGAGTACATGGGAGGACACCACGGAGGAAGCCATTGTTGTCCAAAAAGAATATTGCAGCACATTTGAAGTTTGCAAAAGAGCACCTGGATGTTCCACAGCACTACTGGCAAAATATACTGTGGACAGATGAAACCAATATTGAGTTGTTTGGGAAGAACACACAACACTATGTGTGGAGAAAAAAAGGCGCAGCACACCAACATCAAAACCTCATCCCCACTGTAAAACATGGCGGAGGGAGCATCATGGTTTGGGGCTGCTTTGCTGCCTCAGGACCTGGACGGATTGTTGTCATTGATGGGAAAATTAATTCCAGAGTTTATCAAGACATTTTGCAGGAAAACGTACGACAATCTGTCCACCAACTGAAGCTTCGCAGAGGATGGGTGATGCAACAGGACAATGACCCAAAGCATACAAGTGATTCAACAAAACAATGGCTGCAACAGCACAGAATACGCCTTCTGGAGTGGCCCAGTCAGAGTCCTGACCTCTACCCGATTGAAATGCTGTGGCATGACCTTAAGAGAGCGATTCACACCAGACACCCCAAGAATATTGCTACACTGAAACAGTTTTGTGAAGAGGAGTGGTCCAAAATTACTCCAGATCGTTGTGCAGGTCTGATCTGCAACTACAGGAAACGTTTGGTTGAGGTTAGTGCTGCCAAAGGAGGGTCAACCAGTTATTAAGTCCAAAGGTTCACATACTTTTTCCTCCCTGCACTGTGAATGTTTAGATGTTATGTGCAATTAAACCATGGCAACATCTAATGTTTGTGTAGTATTATGTTCAGCAGACTGTGTTCTTCTATTGTTGTGACTTAGATGAAGTTCAGAGCACATTTTATGCCCAATTCATGCAAAACTCCACGTAATCCCAAGGGGTTCACATACTTTTTCTTGCAACTGCATACACATACAGAAACATGTAGACACCAACACACACATGTACACACACAGAGACAAATGTACACACACAGACATACACACATGTACATACACACACGGAAACATATACACATGTACACGCACATGTACACACACAGACACACAGAGATACATATGTAGACACATGCAGACACATGTACACACACAAGAGAGAATGTTACCAGCACACCGAGGATCACCAATATGGGTCCAAAAGTTTTAATGAATGATCACATAGTTACAGCAAGGCCATGTTTCGAAGTCTCACAGGACCCCTGCATCAGGCACGTGACGGTCACATGCCTGATGGAGGGGTCCTGCAAGACTCCGAAACGTTAACCACTTTAATTTTGCATGTTTTTTTTCATAAAAGCATAGGGAACATATTATCAACATTTTATAGGCTTATTTTTAATATTCATTTAGTTCAATCCTGCTGCATGCAGTGAGCTAAGGAAGTGTCTAAAAAAATTTAACGTTTGCCCTCATATTTAACTTAACGTAAGGGCTGGAAGACTGGCCGTTATTGTCTGTGGCTAGAACTATTTTTAGCTTGTATCATGTACATCATGTTCCCCTTAGGAGTTGCTGAAGATTTGGGTCCCCCTGTAGTCCTGCACAGCCAGGCATCATGCATTTTTCACATACTTGAATGCTGGACACAGTAACCACACTTGAGCTATTTTTTATTAGGAGTATTGAAGGTGAATAGGGTTGAGGGGTGTATGGGATGCCCAAGGAACAGTGAACTGAGGACAGCTTCCTGGCAACTATATACATGTTTCTTCTCATCCAGGATCCAGGATCCAAAGCTGCCACCCTAAATGTAACCCTCCCTAGTGAAGAGTTAGTCAGGATTCCCACCAGAATGCCCTCTCTACTTGTCTGGCCCAGGGGTTGTAGGATTACTCACTTAGTCCTCTCCTGTGAGCTTGTGGGTTGGTGGATGCCTTCAGGCCTTCTGCTGGGCTGGCCCCTCCCCTGGCTCCACAGGTGGTCCTCACTCTAGAGGCTGGTGAAGTTGAGTGATCCTCCTTACTAGGTCCAAGCCTGTAGGTCTTTACACTGGGCCTCCTCCCAGGCACATGCATCTCAGCCTTCTCTACATCTTCCACCCAAATTCCTCTGCTGCTGAGCAGGCTCTCCCACACTTAAAGGTTGTCCTGTCCCATACCAAGCCTCCTGCTTGGGGATTGGCCAGAATCCTTTAAGTGTGCAGGCCAGCTCCTCCTTATTCCGGCCCACTGCTTCTAGAATCTTCTGCAGTTTCTAGAGCAGGGGGAAGTACTGACCTGCAGAGCCCTCACCTAAATTTGACCTCTCTAACTCAGTCCAGGCTGCTACTCAGCTTTTCTAACTAAAAAAAACTAGCTAGCTCCCCCTAGCTAACTAGTGGGGAGCTACATACAGAATCAGGGTGCTGAGTTGCAAGGTTGACATACACTGTCCTAGACAGGCCATGAAATGCAGGATGATCTGTTGTAAACAGAGAACAAGGTTGTGGTTTTTCTAATGAAAATGTGCTTGTCCTTAACCAATAAATGTATTTATCGGATGTTTCTGACTTTCTCTTCGATGTTTTAGGTTTTAAAACTATGGACGCTATCCCCCAGTTGGTTTCTGACTACATTGCAGGAAAATTTGACTTGGAAGGTTTGGTGACTCATACTTTGCCTTTTACTAAAATAAATGAAGGTTTTGAGCTTTTGAGATCTGGCAAAAGGTGGGTATTTGTATTGATAAAAAACAATTCATAGTCTTTTTCACACATTTTTTTTTTCTTACCAAAGTTGCTAAAGACCCTTAACTGCAAAATCTAAAGGCAATTACTCTGGCTTCACTCAGATTCTTCTTTAACTCTTCTCAGTATCTTGAATGACAGGCAAGTCTGTGGTACTTCAGACCTTCTCCACCCTAGTAAACAGAGGTCTTCAACTTTCTTGGATCTCCTCCTACTTTCTGGATAAACTTTCAACCCCATCTATTCACTCCCTTTCTATTAGTTTACCAAAAGGTTGTACTCTTGGACCCCTTATTGTCCCCATCTATATAAAGCTGATTGATTAAAGAATATTTAAATCCAACATTTCATATTTCTGATATATGCCTGCTTTACTATGTACTTGTATGAAAATATATCCTGTTCTCTTTGTATTACTTCCTTTGTGTGAACTGCCTAGTGTTCCTGCAAGTCCCTCTGCTTTCGTATTAAAAAGTGACCACGGGGGGCGCATGCGCGGCTGGGAACTTTGATGGCCGCATTCCTGTGAGCTCCGTACATCCCCCGACCTAAGAGACTCACCCACGGCGCACCGCTGCTCCATATTCCTCCCTGGGTGAGTCACAGTAGCAGGGCACCCAGCGCGCCAGACCTCAGTCCTATAATGGGGAAAGATAGGGCGCTGGAAGCCCCCCTCCCCTCCGCCACGTGAGCCGCGGCCGTCACCGCTGCAGCGGTTTCTTCACAGGCCACAATCCTCGGCCTCAATTACAACAGGGATCCCACAAACGAGCTCCGACAGGCCCCCAGTGGCGGTCGGAGGTACTACACCAGCTGCCTCCAGCTTCCTCCACAATGCCTCCACAATGCAGCCGACCTCCTCACTCCCAGGGATGAGCTCTGACGGGCCCCCAGTGGCGGCAGGAGGTACTACACCTGCTGCCTCTACAATGCAGCTAATCTCCTCACTCCCTCAGCACCAACATATAGATGAATCTGAATCCCAAATCCCTATAGAGGGGACAGCAGAGCATCCTTTGATGAGCCTTTCCTCCTCCGCTCTCACAAATCTCCGTGTGTCACCTGCCCTCACGATATCTACGCTAGAAGAAAAATTGCAGGTATTCTTGCGCAATATTACCGCCACTATTGCCGCTGAAGTGGGCAAATTAGCCTTGGATCTTCGTGGAGAAATAGCGCAGATTGGGGAGCGTGCCGATCAACCGGAGAATAAATTTGATGAACTGGTGCAATACGTTCATGTCTTGGAAGAAGACAATGCATACTTGAAACACACACCATGTCCCAAATTCAGCTCCAGCAAGAAGATTTGGAAAACAGGGAACGCCGGCAAAATGTCCGTATTCGAGGTATATCTGAATCCATTGCCGATTCCCAACTTCGCCGACACCTCCTGTCTTTCTTCACCACAACCGCACCCTTGGTCCCAGAAGCGGAGTGGCGCATGGACAGGGCTCATCGTTCTTTAGGTCCCAGACCTGCTGACAGCACCAGACCACGTGATGTCATCGTCCGCTTTCATTTTTTTGAGAGCAAGGAAGCCTTGTTGGCCTCTGTACGCAACGTTCCCTCCCTGGAATTTAAAGGGGACCGGCTTCAGCTCTTTTGTGATCTTTCTCCTATTACCCTGGCTAAACGGCGAGCGCTGAAACCACTCACCACACATCTTCAACATCTTCGTATCCCTTACCGCTGGGGTTTTCCCTTCAAGCTGGTCGTCTCCAAAGATAACGCCCAAGTTATTCTACGCGATCTTTTTGAAGCGGACTCCTTCCTGAAGCAACTGGGACTACCCCCCCTGCCGGACGACAATGCCTCACTACCATCTACTCCATCTCGTCCTTCCGCTACCCCCAGCAAGATCTGGACACCAGTTCGTAGGGGCCGGAAGCGTCCTTCCCGTACTCCACAACGCCCTCGCCCTGCTCGTTGTAGTGATGATCCTGCTTGATGTTTTTTTTTTTGAGGTGTTCTTCAAGGTTGTATCCCTATCTCCTCCCCTCTCCCCTTTCCATCCCCCCTCCTTTTCTTCCCCCCTTCTTCTCCTTCCCTTTCCCCCTCTCCCTTCTTTTCCTCACCCTCCCTTCTTCCTCCCTTTTTTTTTTCATTTTATTTTTGCGCTGGGTGCCTTTTTATGCTGTATCTTTTTGGCCGGGTTTGCCGAATTCTATGTTCCGGTTGTCATGTTGCCCCCGATCACGTCCAGACATTTGCCTGGACGACTTGGGTGCCGATGCCTTTCCCAAGTTCATATCCATACGGATATCTATGTTCTTTATTGTAATTTTTTTGGTTTGTCTATCAATGTTATTAGTTCTAATGTTTCATGTCCCTACTGTTCTTAGATTTGTCTCATCGATGCTATCTCCATTATTCTTTATCTGGGTACATTTGCTATTTGTATGTTTATCTAATGATGGCTTTACAGTTATTATCGTACAATGTCAAAGGTCTTAACTCCATCCAAAAACGGTGGATGGCTTTGAAGGAATTTCGATCCTCAGGAGCAGATATTATTTTTGTCCAGGAGACCCATTTCAAGTCGACTGGCTCTTTTCGTTTTGCCTCAAGGTTTTTCTCCCACTCCTACTCGGCTTTTGATCCCACTGGGAAAAACCGGAGTGGCTATTTTGATTCGGACACACTGCTCCTTTGGGTCATTTCCTCTAAAGTCGACCCACGGGGTCGTTATATCATTTTGGAATGTATGTTTGCTGGTTCCCCCCCCTTATCCTGTTAAACTTGTATGCCCCGAACGCAGGTCAATTACATTTCCTCTCCCAAACCCTTGCTAGACTGAATGTCTTTACCACACCACATATGATCATTGGAGGTGATTTTAATTTAATCATGTCCCCCCACAAGGATAGGAAAGTACTATTTGAATCCACCCCCTCGAAGCGGCAGTGTTCCTCTTCAAAATCTTTTCGCAAATTGATAAGGGAACATCGTCTCTTTGATGCTTGGCGGATCAAACATCCCCTTCATAAACAGTATACTTTCTACTCCATCCCTCATCAGAGTTTCTCCCGCTTGGACCACTTTTTTATCTCTTCCCCCTTACTCCCTCTCTTAGTTTCATCCGAAATCAATCCCAGTACATGGTCCGATCACGCCTCTTTGTCTCTGAATCTTTTCTTCCCTGATTCTTTACCGAAAGCTTGTCATTGGCGTCTCAATGAGACCTTTCTCACTACTGCCTGTTTCCGTGAAGAACTTTCTCGGGGATTGGATATGTACTTCCAACACAACGTTGGCTCAGTGACTTCTTCCTCGACACTTTGGGAAGCCCACAAGGCCGTTTTCCGGGGAATATGTATCTCTCTAGGCTCCCGTTTGAAAAAGTCCTCAGCCAGTGCCAAGACTTCTCTCATCCGCCAATTATCCTAAGCTGAGCGTCAACTGCTAATCAAGCCGTCCATAACTCATCTTCGTAGGGTTACTTCTCTACGCGACCAAATCAAAGCTCTTGACTCACATATAGCTGTGCAATCACTTCTTTGGGTCAAACAGAAATTTTATGAATTTTCCAATAAGCCCCACCGTATGCTAGTCAACAGGCTTAAAACGCAATTTTCTCCCTCGTTACCAGACCATCTTCTTCAATCAGATGGTACACCTACATATGACCCTCATGTAATGGCCTCACTTTTTGGATCATATTATAAGACTCTCTACAACTGTTTAACCCCAGATCTCCATCCTCCTTTTTGTAAAACGTCATTCGATGCCTTCTTTGAGTCATTCTCTTTGCCGCAGATATCACCTTCTGACCTTTCGGCCCTTAATGCCGATATCTCATCTGAGGAGCTGTATGATACAATTAAGCAGCTCCCTTCTCACAAATCACCAGGACCTGATGGCTTGCCTTATTCTTATTACAAGACATTCATAGGCATTTTGGCCCCCCATCTTCTCTCTTTGTTTCAGGATCTCTTAAGAGGTGTCCCCCCTCAGGCTGATTTTTCACGTGCCTATATTTCCGTTATCCCCAAGCCTGATAAGGATCCTTCTATTCCGGACAATTATCGCCCCATTGCCCTGTTAAACTCTGATTATAAAATATTTACTAAGATTTTGGCCAATAGGCTTTCCCGATTCCTATCCAAGCTCATACACAGGGACCAAGTGGGCTTTGTGCCCACCAGACACGCTGCGGACAATACCAGGAGGTCTATTGACCTGATCGACCTGATTAACAGAACTTCATCCCCTGCTATATTGCTGAGTTTGGATGCTCAAAAAGCTTTTGATCGCCTTAGCTGGCCCTATATGTTTATGATCTTGGAGAGATATGGTTTCCGGGGCCCGTTTGTGATGGCCCTGAAGGTCCTTTACTCCTCCCCGTCCTCAGAGGTCAGATTGTCTTCGTTTCTTTCACCTTCTTTCAGGATGTCGAACGGTACAAGGCAGGGGTGCCCACTTTCCCCTTTACTGTTTATCCTCTGCCTAGAGCCACTGGCCACTGCCATTCGATCTAACCCTGACATAAGAGGGATACATTCCCATGGGCGTGAATATAAATTGTCCCTATTTGCAGACGATATCCTTCTTACTCTAACTAGTCCTTGCACCTCTCTTCCGGTTCTTCATAAAACCTTACAATTATTTGGGACCCTGTCAGGCTACAAGGTAAATACATCCAAAACCAAAGCACTCCCACTTCATATCCCACCCGACATGTTAACCTCTCTCCAAGCATCTTACCAATATCGTTGGTGTACCCACTCACTGAAGTATTTGGGTACCAACCTTACTTCCTCCTACCATTCCATATATGAGGCTAATTTCCCCCCCCCTATTTGTTGCTATTTCCCGTTCCTTAAAAGTTTGGGACACCCTACCTATTTCCTTTCTTGGACGTATAAATGTTATAAAAATGACCGTACTGCCCAAACTTTTGTATCTATTTGCAACTCTCCCCGTCCCCATCCCTATGTCCAAGCTAAATTCTATCCAAAAATCTCTCTTACGTTTTATTTGGCACAACAAACAACATAGAATTGCACGTACTGT